TAATTATTATATATATATATATATTATAATTTTGATTTATATATTAAATGATATATATTCATTATTATTAAAATTAATTATATATACATAATTTAAGTAAAAATTTGTATAATTGTAATATTTATAGATTAAATTTACATATTTGTGAAATGTTAGAGACTAAAATTATTTTATTAAAATTAAAAGTTTTAAAATAGCATAATTGTTATATTTGAGGGAAAAACATAGTGAAGCCTAGCTAAAATTTTTCTATCGGCATAAAAATTTTCTGTTAGCAATTTTATATTATCAAAGTTTTTTCTGGTGTAGGTGTATGTGTAGGACTAAAACTTACAGGGCCTAAAATTTAATATGAAAGCAATCATGTAAATAGTGTAACTAAATTTAAATTATAAAGATTAAATTCTTTAATCCTGATAAATAGAATAATATTTGTTTTTAATTCATAAAAAAGGTAAATGACTTTTTAGTCTCACAATATGTCATCTGGCCTTATTTCCATATATGAGAAACAAAAAGAATCGAAGATAATTTTTTGTGTAGGATAGAGTACACATTTAAACCATTTTTTTTAATAAATGAGGGAATAAAATAACTAAATAAGACGGTATTAATAAACTAAAATCACTAAAAATATATTTAACTCAAAATTATGATATTCCTTACCAACAATATAAAAAATTACAGTGGATAATTAGAATCAAAAGAAGGACAAAGTCATATACTCACATTGATTCTTATAACGAGGATTTGAGTTCATTTTCAGGACTACGTTTCATTTTCTTTTTGTCAATTTATCAAAAACCAACCAAAAGTATCGTTTTCTTGTTGAAAGCAAGCTTAGCTGTAGCCTCCACCTTGCATGACTTGTTATAAGCATCCTCTGAACCCCACTTCTTAATGTTTTGTATTTTCTGCCATGTTCTTGTCATATGGAATCAATCGATTTGTGATATACCCGTACACCATATAGAGGTTTTTGGGTTGTGGGGGAGTAACAAATAAACACCACAAATATGTACAAGAGGCAAAACGGATTATCATTTCTCATAACAACAACAGTGCCCATTCTACAATTATTCAAGTTTCATTTTCATATTACGCAACATAATTTGATGATTGTGTGTAGTTATATTAGTAGCACAGTTTTACTTAGATACTATACTAGTGTCTTTGATTTTGTACATGTATGCATGTATGTAGATATATCCAAATTGATGGGGCACGTGGGAAGTGTGACGTGGCGAAAGGGCATAGTGGAAGCAAGGGAATGTTTTGGGGGAGATGCTCCCTCTGCACCAAATTTCTCTCCCCAATTAATAATGAAATAATGGAGCATGAGAGTGATCCCATGCTGGTGTTAAATTTTCTTCTTCCCCAAGCAGAGAGTGCATGTGGGGGTGTCGCTTGAGAAGGAAAACAAACACACATGATTCATGAAGATGCATAGTGTTGGATGGTTTTGGTCTACTTTTTGGGCCTTCCCCATGTGCCCTAAGGGCCTTCTCAATCTAAGACAACTTCGGTAGATGGGGTCTTGCCCCTCAGTCAAACAACATTGACCTGGGCCAATACGATTATCCTTGCAAACACACCCATCAAAACCCTACATTTTACATCATACTTACTGTTTATCCACCCCCTTTTGTTGTCTATATCTTTTTCATCTCTTCAACTTCATAAACTCTTGTCCTGCCATTTATATCATATGTGGGGATGGTAAAAAATATATAAAAAAATACCCCTCGGATAATTGCCATGAAAGCTACATCCAATTCGATTTAAATAGCCTAACATGCATGTAGATATCAATCAAATAAATAGATTCTTTGTTCACTCGTCACTATGTTCCATGATTTCGTGATTTTTCTCACTAAATTTTCATATATTTTTGTAAATTATTAATTAATTTTTCTGAGACTCGATGTGATAGTGATATGAATCAACAATATAATATATTTTCTTTTATCTATTATAATTTTTTCAAATATAAACAAATTTTGACCACATACTTTTATTTTATTTAATGATATTTTTTAAAAAAATATTTCTTCTTTAATACATAATCTTTCAATTGTACTGGTCTTTGGGTTCAATTAGCATCTTTAGAGTTCATGTTCATACAAGTTTACCTTTCACCAACACTTGTCATCATCCTCTAATGATTTCCTCCTTAAGTTCCCCCCCTCCCCGTTGAGTTAATCGCTTAATCCACGGGCTTTCACCGTTCGTGGAGTGGAAGACGAAGAAATATACAATTGTTAATACCATGCATGCTAGACCTTGTAAGTGCCCGTGCTAGTCTTTCAATCGACATGTTCAAAGTAAAAATAAATAAAAATAAAAAAAGGAATGGGCTATAATTAAAATTAAGTGAGGGTATCTTGATGGGAACAACTTTAATTAAATAAACAAACTTAGTATTAAAGGGTTCCTAAAGTTGTTCCAAGTGTCTAAAGAGAATTCCCCGACCTCGTACAACAATTCCTGTACTTTTATTTAAACCCATGGCGGGGCACAATAGATTTCATACTTCAAAGCTTGCATTAATTCCCCCTGCCCCCTTTGAATCTCTATGCAAAAGCGATTTATTTTGTTTAATTTAACCCTCTTTCTACGATCCTGATGAAATGCT